AAAAAAAAAAAAAAAAAAAAAAGACAAATATTATTTTAAAAAATTAAGCTGCATTAATGTAATTATTTCTATTTTAAAAGTATTGGGGTCAGATATGGTGGTGTACACCATTCCAGCACTCTGGAGACTAAGGAAAGTAGCAGGAGGATCATGAGTTCAAGGCTAGCCTGGGCTACATCGTGAGTTTTTGGTTGTTTTGTGTGTGTGTGTGTGTGTGTGTGTGTGTGTGGTACTGGGGTTTGAACCCAGTCATAGTGAGATCTTTATTCAAAAAAAAAAAAAGAAGCAAAATCAACCAATAAGCCAGGCATGGGGGTTGGCACTTGTAATTCTAACTACACAGGAAATGTAGGTAGGTAGATTGAGGTCTGAGACCTCAAGACCCTATCTGAAAAATAACTAAAAGCACCAGGCATAGTGGCTCTTATCTGTAATCGTAGTTTTTGGGAGGTAAAGATTGGGAGGATCATGGTTCTAGGCCTGCCCTGGTCAAAAAGTTTATGAGACCCCATCTCAATCAATGTCTGGGCACAGTGGTATGCACCTGTCACCCCAATTATGTGTGATAGCATGAATAGGAGGATCGCAGTCTAGGCCAGCATGGTATAAAGTGAGCCCTATCTCAAAACTAAGCAGGGCAGGCTGGAAGTGTGACTCAAGTGGGAGAGCTCCTGCCTAGCAGGGGTGAAACCCTGAGTTCAATCCTCAGTACTGCTAAAAAAGAAAAGAAAACAAACAAACAAACAAGAAAAAGAAAAAAAAAAGGAGGAGGCGGAAGAGAGGCAAGAAAAGTAAAAAATAAGAAACCTGAGGGCACTCTACTCACCCAGGTCTGTGGAGACTTTCTCAAACTGGCTGAGGAGAGTACCTGCATTTGCTGACAAGAAGGCCTCATCATCTGTAGTCAGCTAAAGAAAAGGAAACAAATCAGCAGCGTGGGTTCAAATGTTACAAGCAGGTTCTTGGTATCAAAATTAAGAATGTCTTTGGTCCACAAACTACATTACAGGTCATGAAATTCTGTAGCAAATACTACAGTTTCTAATACCTAATATTTCAAACTAAATATAGTACCTTCTCTCCAAGTTTCCTGAGAGCTGTTAGTATCTCCACTTTCTGTTGAGTGTATAGGTCTCTTTCCAGTTTTCCCACCATCAGATCTCTATCCATCTACAATGGATGAATGCAAAGCATATGATTTGAAAGTGAAATACTCTGTGCATAAAACCCAGACCTACTTCTTTAAATTTTAATGCTAAACAGAACCACTGTCTTAGTTATAAGTGCCACCAAAGGTTAGTAGGTCAGTAGCTTCCTTTGGAGAGAAGCTATCCTTTAAGAGCTTATTATTATTTTTTTAAATCTAAAGTATGGTCTTTAAGTTTGAATGAAATAACTGACAATAGTCTTAGAAATTACATTAAATATCATCTCTATCACCAAAAACACTAAGACTATGTACTGTACATTGGTACTATTCTAAGTGCTATTTATTTATTTATTTATTTAGCTGTACTGGGGTTTGAACTCAGGACCTATACCTTGAGCAACTCCAACAGCCCTTTTTTGTGATGGGTTTTTTTGAGATAGGGTTTCGTGAACTATTTTCCTGGGCTGGCTTTGAATCATAATCCTCCTGATCTCTGCCTACTGAGTAGCTAGGATTACAGTTGTGAGCCACCAGTGCCTAACTGTGTTGGGTATTTTCGAAATAGGATCCCTTGAACTATTTGCTAGGGCTGGCTTCAAACCATGATCTTCCTGATCTCTGCCTCCTGAATAGCTAGGATTATAGGTGCCCAGCTTTGAAATTCTTAGGTTAGATAGAGGCAACATTGTATAGAAGCAACACTGCTAATAAATTCTCAATGTTATTTCAAGTTAGAGTTCTAGAACACCATGGTGAAACATCAAAGGTGGAGTCCATGTAAAAGTGATCCAAGGCAATTTAAACTGCAATATACTGTTTAAATAGCTACAGTCATTATAAAACATCTACATTCATTATGAACTATAATTGCTCAAGGTACTAATTTTGTCAGAAAATTATGGGCTGTGGCTCTAAAATCAACTGACCAACTTTTAAACTGTAGATTGTTACAATAAGCAAATTCTCAGGCTAGGAAGAAAAACACACAGCAACCAGATCAATTAAAGAAACTTTACCTCAGCTAACCTTGTCCGAAGCTGACCTGGTTGTTTCTTTGCAAACAATCGGATCACCTCTGGAGTTTTAAAGGCCTGGCTAATAGCTGCCTGAATAGCCTAGAAACACAAGAAGGTAAAAACTAATTGAAACATTCCTAAGAATCAGATTTGCAATTATTTACTGATATTATTGGTAAGTCTTTGTGCATCAAACACTGTTACAAAATCAGTTTTCACTTGCTATTTCTGTGCATATCACTAGAACAAAATACATAACAAAATGAAGATCTGAGTGATACAATTATTTTATGCACTAAGTAGACATTCATTAAGAAGTTATACCCAAAAACAGGATACTTTTTTTTCTTTTCAGTGCTGGGAATCAAACCCAGCATCTTGCACATGCTAGGCAAACATTCTACCACTGAGCTACATCCCTTAAATGTACCCTTAAATGGTCCACTTCTATCTGAAATATGCTTAGAAAAGAAAAAATAAGTAAATTGTGCTTACCAGCTGCATTCCACTTAGTTCATCTATCAAAGTCATATTTCCAGACATAATTTTCTTCAGTGAATCATTAAATTCACTTAGCTGTTCCAGCGTTTCCTTTTTGGTTTCTTCATATTCATCTGCATCAAGTTCCTCTCTAACATACAGTGAATACCATAATGCAGAAAAATATAGAGTTCCAAGTGAAAACAGCAATCTCAGTACTTACACACTACAGAAAGGCTGAAGGGAAACATCAAAATGCTAGTAATGAATGTGTACAGACAGTTATAGTGTGAACACTTTTCTTCCAACATGGTTATTGGTAACATTATCTTTTTTTTTTTTGGTGTCAGGGATTGAACCCAAGGTCAGAATGCTCTACCACTGAGCTACACCACCATTGCCTAAACATTTTTCTTTTATCCAAATAAGACACACTTAATTAACCACACGATAACTTCCTTTTAAGCAGTCAATAGAATAATCTAGGGCAAGATTACTGAACACAGCTAAGCCTGAGTTTATCTATAAAGCTTTTGGTAATTACAGTACGCATCTAATAAGGTTGCAATGAGCATTGAAAGAGATAAAGTGCTGGGCATGCAAAGTAACAAGTGACTAGCTGTTGTTATCATCATTATTATTACTGGTAGGGAACATTTTGTGTGCCTGCAGAACAACAGCAATACACTACCTCTCTGTCATCTGAGTAAGAAGTTACTTTTATTCATCAAGCAGTTCACTTATTAAACATTTACCGTGAGTGCTGGGGTGCCTATGGCTCATGCCTGTAATCCTAGCTTCTTGGGAGGCAGTGAGCAGAAGGCTCAAAATTCAAGGCCAGGCCAGGCAAAAAGTGAGACCCTATTTCAAAACTTCCCAACATAAAAAAAAGGGCTGCCAGAGTGACTCTAGTGGTAGAATGCCTGTTTAGCAAGCGTGAGGCCCTGCAGTACCACAAAAAAATTAAAGTAAAAAATACTACCATAAGTAACAATAGCTGCCACTTACAGAGCACCTACTCTGAACCAGGTACTGTGTTGCCTGTTTTATTTGTAATATTCACAACAACCTGGAAAAGCTGTTAAAAAATGCAATGAACAGTCATGTTCCTTTTTTTTTTCTTTGAACCAGCACCATGCCCTGAGCATGATAAGCATGCAGTCTTCCACTGAGCTACACAACCAGCCCAGCTTTGGTCCTTTGAGAAATTAAGAGTGAAATCACACACCAGGAGTTCATACTAGGCAGGGCTGTTTTAAAGACTAAAGACAAGATCAGTGTTAATTCTTTCCACTTCAAGGAAGTTAATCATTCTAACCAAGCTCACATGCACTTAGTGATTACTTGAAAGACTTCCATGTCCCAGGCTTCCTGACTCTAAAGCCTGAACTAAGTTTACTTCTCCAACAGACAAAACACTGTAAAAACACTACAGGAGGAAACAAAATCACACATGGACCTACATCTATGCCACTTACAATTTAGCTACAGAAAAAAGGCATTTTATAGCATAACAACATACAGTTATACTATTACCTGCATTCCTCCAGATCTTGTAATTGTTGCATTAGTCTATCTAACTGCTCTTCTAAATTCTGCTTTAATTTGCTTGTCTCTGTCTTTCCTCTGGAAGCCATTTTAATCTGTATGTAGAAAAATAAATCCATATACAGTATATATTACATGTGGTTATTTGAAGAGATTCAACACATCATGCAATTTAAAATTAGGCAAATTTAAGTTAAATTTAAATCTAAAAGGCTACACTCTTAGTTCCAGATATGGGAAAGACAGTTACACACATAAAATCTCAACGTAGATACTAAGTTTAAACTCATAGCAATAACACCCACAGAAATGCCTGACAGTCTCTTAAGTGACTTGCAACTTCATTAGAAGTCTTCGCTATTGGTCTATCTTAAACAAATTCAAAGGATGAACATACAGATTTATAAAGAAATAGGTCAGATGTCACTTTGCTTTATTAAAAACATCCAATATAGCATTCTTTTTGTTTTTAGTAAGTATACTCCAGGACTCAGAACTCTCCTGGTATTATCTTGTTGGTCTTCTATATATTTACCTAATGACTTGTGAGCAAAACATCTTATTTTTTTATTTTTTTATTATTCATATGTGCATACAAGGCTTGGGTCATTTCTCCCCGCTGCCCCCACCCCCTCCCTTACCACCCACTCCACCCCCTCCCTCTCC